GTCCCCTTCCCTTCAGCCACCCTGCCTGGCACTCCATCTCGTTGAGGTCTTCCTCTCTTCTCGCTGACCCTTCACTTTGTCCAGCCTGGTAACCCTCCTCTGGGCAGGCCTGCTGGGCTCTGGAAGGCTGGTGGTAGGTGGCAGTGGTTAGACCTCCCTGTGAGCAGCTCCCTCCCAGGGGTGGGGGGAGCAGCACAACAGGGACCCCCTCCCCTTGGTCCCCGGCACCATGAGGCCAGAGCATCACCCGAGACTAGTGGGTCAAAGTAGGCGGTGAAAACAGCTGGAGGCAGGGGCTCCAGGAAATAACCTTGACAATTTGCCAAATGATCTTACTGTGCCTTCATGATGCAATAAAAAAAAATAAATAAAAAAGCTAAACTTTGAGCAGAAACCAGTGATTTTGGGGCAAGTGCACCGCGCTGTGTTTGTGTTTTTAGTGTGCACGGCTTAGACTGCAGACAAGCACACTGAGGGGTTTACAGCCAAAACCACACTTACAGACCAGGAACCGAGGAATGTTCTGTGAACAAACTCTTAGTAAAGCACACGTTCAGTCACACCGAGCGGCTCGCAGGCACACACCACAGCTCAGAGGTGCCAGAGACACCATTAATCCCCCCTTCCATGCACTGACCTTCGCTCCTGGGGAGCCAGGCAGCCGTGTCACAACACGCGGGCCGCAGGCAGGACAGCAACGTGGCCATGGTGCTCACGTCATCCATTGTGGCTTCTGCTAGTCCAGGCAGGTTGAAATGCAGGCTTGCCTCCTGGGACTTGTATACCCAACAGGTATGCTCTGGAAGTGTCTGTGGCAAGGGCAGTGGCATCTGTGGGGAGCTGCCCGGGCGGGTGTCCTGCATGGTGTGATCCTGGGCTGCCTGGCATTACCCTGTGCAGTGCCCTGGGGTCATGACCTGAGGAGGGCAGTGGTCTCCTGCCTGTGGAGGCGGTGACCGTCCCCTTGGGCAGAGGACATGGAGCGGTGGCCAGGGACCTGAGAGACCCCAGAGGTTTGCGCTCCATCACTGGAAGTGGGCTGTGGGGCTTCTGTTTTCACATCCCATCGGGCAGTGTGGTTGGTGGGGTCGGTCTTGTTGGTTGTGGAAAGGGCCATCCCTTGGGTTCTCTGTGAGGCTGAAGAGAACGGGAGGTTGAGTCCCACAATATTAAGGTGACGGTGCTTTTAAAAGCACCTGGGGCAGCCCGTCCCACCTCGGTGGCGGTCAGTGCACACAGCCCTCGTGGTGCCCTCACAGTCCCGGTCATTGGCCACCGTAGTACTAGGATCTGTTGTGCATGGGGGCCCAGCAGCCATTGGGTTTGGTTTTTCAAGGATTCTGTGAATTAACGTGAATTCAGACCACAAAGGACTGAAATACAGATTTTTGTGTTACTATCAAAAAAATAGATACTTGTGCAGATGTCAGCTTGTCCTGTGGGCTGTGGCCCGCAGTCGGGTTCCTGGGCTGTGTGGGTGAGAGCCAGGGGCTGCCCGCCCGCTGTCGGGGCGTCGGGAGGAAACCCCAAAGCTGGGCGCAGACAGAATGGCCCACAGGGGGCGGGGATGGAAAGCCTCTGAGGGTGGGAAATAGTGGAGACATGGAAGAGTGTGCAAGTGTGCTTCTAATTCTAAGCTGTGAACGGTTTTACCAATCATTCCTTCTTGACACATTTGTGTATGTTCTGTAGTGGATTAAAACCAGCTGTGTGGACACGTCTGCCGTGTCCTCCACCCTGTCCCCATTGGCAGCAGCTGCCCGTCATCCTGTTTGTCCCGTCATCTGGTTTACATACGGGCTTGTGCACAGACCTTCGTGTGCATACATGTGTGTACATATGGACGTGTGTACATACAGGCCTGTACACATATGGGCTGTGTACAGACAGGTGTGTGCGCATACATGCGTGTGCACACGAGTGCTTGCACGGTGCCCTCCCCACCCTCCACATGATGGATGACTCCCTCCCTACTTACTGTACCTGCTTAAACAGGACAGTCATGGGGGGTTGGGATACAGGCCCCAGTTGTTTAGGAGGAGGGGGGCGAGGGGTGTATACACCCAGAGGGACTCTTCCCCGTCTCCACGCATTTCTCTGGGGGTGTAGGGAGCACCCTCTCTGTGCTGTCTCTGCACCCTCAACTCAGCTCGAACTCTGGGAGCCCGATGTGTGTCCGGGGGAAAAGGTGGGGCCTGAAAACTGAACCTGTTTGCAAAAATTAAATGGAGTAACTATTTTTAAAGCTTTTTTTAAAAATTCATTTGAAAAAGGAAAAAAAAAAACCCACCCGCCTTTTCAGTTAAAGGGATGCATTCCTCTTCTGTCCCATAACCTTCAGTGTTTGCTTGGGCCCTCTTGTTTTTACGTTCTTCTCACCCCACCTCCTGGTTCCTTGGTTCTCTTGCTCAGGCCCCTTCGTGCATACTTTTGAGGTTTTTCTCATGTAAATTTGTATGATGGAAAATATTGTTCAGTTGGCATAGAAAGCATGGAGAATAAAGATAGCTGAAATTCAGATTGAAGAAATTTATTTCTGTGTAAAGTTATTTAAAAACTGTATTATAAAAGGCAAAAAAGTTCTATGTACTTGATGTGAATATTCGAACCTGCTCTAATAAAGACTGAGTGCATGAGCCGGCTCCTGCAGGGTCGTCCTTCCCGCGTCTCAGTGGGGCCACAGTGGGGGCCCACAGCGCAGGGTGACAGCGCGGGCCCAGGAGGGAGCCCGGGCCCTGCAGAAGGCGCGGAGAGAGAGCTGCCTTGCAGGTCAGGGGCCGGAGAGGACCTGTGACACAGGACTTGCCCCAAGTGTCATTGCAGTGTCTTGGAAACATGTAGTGTCACTGAGTCACCTCCCCAGGACTCTGTCCAAGGTCCCCTTAGACCTGCGTTTCTCACACAGCGCCAGTGAGTGCCCTGCTGCCCCAGTGCACAGCTCTGACAGGCCAGGTGACAAGCACGGAGATCACATCCAGAAGAAACCCATCAGACTGTCGGGCCAAGGTACCAAAAGAGACAGAGTCCGTTCTGAAGCTTGCCCTGGGGGCTCTGGAGCGGGAGGGGCCTGGTCTCCCACGCCAGGCACCTCGCCAGGTCTTTCCAGCGCACTGCTGCATTCTCCTCCTCTGAAGTATAAACCTATACCGCGCACCTGAAGGAAATGCGTTTTCTAAAAGCCCTGCTTTGTCCATATCATCACCACAGGAGCAGGTGGCCTTATTTAAATACATCTGTGGGAAGGGCTCCTCTACATCCAGACTGTGAGGAACAGCTTCCAACTAGCTAAGAGGCTGCAGTTGAAACCCACCCAGAGGGGAAATCCTCTCAGGAGACTGGTCAGACCCGCTGACGGGAGGTCCCGACCCCAGGAGCCCTTAGCTCTACCCCGCACACACAGGCGCCACGAGACGGCGTCCACGCTGTGGGAGACTCAGTGAAACCCCAGGGTGCTTCACGGTAATCGCTGCTGCTCAGACCTTGGCCTGTTACCCAGTGGGAGCTGGAACTGCGGTCAGACCACGTCCACTGCGTCAGAGCCCCGCCTCCTGGTCCCAGTGAGTGTCTGACAGGGTCGTGCTCGCACACCTGTGCTCGGCAGAGCTGGGGAGACACAGCCCTCCCGTAGGTACATGTTGGTCACTGTGAGATGCTGCCTTTCATCACAGGACGGTCAGAAAGGTCACCTGGCACGGCCTGCTGCCAAGATGCTGGATTTGCACCTCCACTGTGTTGCTCACTAGTTGTGTGGGTGTGGCCAACGTCCTAGCTAATCTAGAACTTTCCTTATCTGCAGTTGAAATTACACAAAGATGGGGTATGCTGACAGAGGGTCAGGTGTTCAAGACAGAGCCTGGTCTGAGGTGACGCTTCCGTCAGGTCCTGTGAGCTAGCAGGCCCACCAGGTGAAGGCCGAGACATCTGACCGCCTGGAGTCACCTCTGGCAGCTGACTGCACCCATGCCAGGACGCAGTGGGCAATGAGGGCCTTGTGCCGAGACAAGTGGGCGCTAGGGGACTGAGCCACACAGACAGACAGGACTCGGGGCCTCATCACTCCTGGTTGGACCATTTTAATTTAGCATTTGTTTACAATTTGAAATCCATCACTTCTCGCAGCTCCTGTGGGAAAACACAGTGACAAAAGTCTTTTCAGTAATTAAGTACCAGTTCTTTCTTCTGTCACGCCCACACCGGCAGAGCCCCCACTTGGCAGATGGTCTGATGGGGGAGAAGCACGCTCATCTGATCTCAAAGCGTTATCTGCGAATAAGTGGGCACTTGCACAGAGATCACCCCAAAACGGGAGGGACCCAGAGCAGGCACGGCCGAGGAAGGCCCTCTGGTGGCTGTGGTCCCACTGCCCAGCCCCCTGAAGGTGGCTGGGATGCCAGTGCAACCCCAAAAAATGGCTTCCGTGGAAGAGGTCCACGGTGTCCCAATGGTGCGACTGCCTCAGAACACATAACCGTCATCCCTAGCCTTGCCTTTCCAGGGCAATTTGAATCATGGCAGCTATTAAGTGAAATTACTGATTTAAAACTTGTTAAAGGAGTGTTTTAATCCCAGCAGCTTTGGAGAAAAAGGGAATCAATCCTCCAAGCATCTCTCTCAAGAAAAACTATTAATTCCCGATCCCATCTCAACAGCTAACTCAAGTCGTTCCACATGCCAGACTGCTGGGCCTGTCAACAGAGACTGAACTCAGAACCCTGTGACTGTAGCCACTGAAAGCTCCCTGCTGCCTGGGCCCCCACCCTGTCCCCGTGCTAGCACAAGCAGTCATCAGAGCTTGTGTTCCATCACTACATGGATACACCGTGTCACAAACATGGAAAGGACTCCATGAGATCAAAATGGGATGGGGGAGGGAGGAGCCCCAAGTATGCTCAAGCAGTTCTGACTGTCAGGAGATGCACAGTCACAGCCAGCTTCTCTAGCACAGGGAGTGACTTACAGGGACACAGGGCACACCCACTGGTCAGCGGGCAAAGCAGTTCTCAGTCTTCATCATCAGGGGGGATGCCCAGCTCTTCATCTGTCCATTGGGAAGGATCGGGATAAGGAAAGTGCCCCTGGGAACAACCGAAGACAAGCCGTCAGGAACCCGACACCTGTCTGAGGAGTCTCAGAAAACCTCCCAGGAGGGCAGTGGTGACCAGGCTGCCTTCACCAGGGCGGCCCTCTGTCCCTCAGTCTGTCCTTTGCGGGCTCTGGCATGGGCACTAGCTGCCCTGCCCTCCCTGAGCCCACAGTCCGCACTGCAGCCAGGGGCCTCCTGTCCCGGGGGAGCAGGACCTCAGCACCCCCACGCACCCCTGGGCACCACGTCTGGCTGCAGCACAAAGCGCTCCAGGCGGAAATCAGTAAGCAGCCTGACGCTCCTAACAGTATATTTAAGATTTTATTTTCTTGCAAATCGAGTTTTTTTAAAGCAATCATTTGGACTGGCGAGCTCAGACTTCGGTGTCTGAAAGGTGATTTCATGGAGAACAGGATCTGCAGCAGCTGAGGGTCTAAACGTGTCAGAAGGTCCTCCCTGTCACCTCACCATCTCCACCCCAGGCGATCTAGCTGGCCTGCACCCCACGCGGGCCCTTGACCAGTCCATACACTTGCCGGGGAGTGAAAGAACCGGTTCCTGGCCTCCCTTACAAATACCCGATGGGCAAGACCACCCGCGCCCCTGGGCGGAAGGCCGGACTCCCGCGTGAGCTGGGGAAGCCGGCGGGCGGAAGGGTCACGGCTGGCCAGTGCCAGGCCCACTCACCAGCACCGCGTCCGAGTCGTGCCAGAAGCGCCAGAGGATCCAGAACCACATGGTCCCGCTGAAGAACTCGGCCAGGACCACCTGCGACCGGGTCAGCTGGGGGAACTGGCGGTAGGACGGCTTGATGTGCACGCCGCCGCCGGCACTGCGGGCAGAGGGTCAGCGTGGGGCCGCCGGTCAGCCGGCCATCGTGCGGGGGTCAGCGCGACATCCAAGTCTCGCCCCTCCACCGGGCACCAGGGGGACGGTTCTCCGTGGGCTTTACACCCGGGCGGCTCGGCCCAGCCAATCCCGGTCCCACGGGGACATCGTGCGCCCCAGAACCGAGGGTGGACGGCAGGGCTGGCCAGGGGCCGCGCGTCCCCGGCTCGACGCTGTCACCCTTCCAGCACATGGGCGACGGCGGACACGCTCCGTGCGAGGTGACCCCACGAGCTCCCCCGGCCGCAGAGCGCGGACTACAACCCCCAGCATGCCCCGCGGCGGCGGCCAGCCTCCCAGCATCCGGGACCTGCGCCCAGTCAAGGTGACGGCGCCCGGAGTCCACGCTCCTCCGAGACTGAGCCCCCGAGACACTGTTCACCGCGCACTGACGACCGCCCGCGCCCCGAGCCCGGTCCTGCAGCCCCGCCTCCAGGGCGGACTACAACCCCCAGCATGCCCCGCGGCGGCGGCCAGCCTCCCAGCATCCGGGACCTGCACCCGGCCCGCGCCCGGTCAAGGTGACAGCGCCCGGAGTCCACGCTCCTCCGAGACTGAGCCCCCGAGACACTCACTGACGGACGCCCACGCCCCCAGCAGTCCGCTTGCCGCAGCCTCGGAAGAGCTGGCCTCCGACGCGAACGAAAGGCGCCAGCCGCCTCAGAGCCGACATGACGCCCGAGGTCCGCTCGGCGCTTCCACGGGCGCGCGCCTGACGTCACTCCTGTCGGGGCGCCGGCGCAAGACGTCGTCCATTTGGGCCGCAGGGAGCCGGGAGGGCGGGCAGCTGTCCACCGAGGCTCTGCGGGCCTCTGAGTGTCAGTCCCTCCCCCAGGCGGTGAAGTCACCTCTGCCGCGTCTTTTCTGCCCCTTCCCCGGCCGCTGAGCCGACTCCTTTCCGCGTCTCCGGTGTTGCCCACCCACCTGTCAGTGGTGTAGGCGGGCTCGCGGTTGCTAAGAGACGGCGGCTGACGGGGATTGGCTGCCGAGGCTCCGGCGTGGGCGCGGGGAGACGTTCCCGGGCAGGGCTAGCTGCGCGCCGGGCACTGCAGGGGCCTCTCGGCTGCCCTCGAAAGCCCCTCTTAGAAACAACCTGGGTCTAAACTTGGCCTTCCTTTCCCAGCGTAGTGTTTTCACACGCGATCTCTGCCTCCAGACCTGGCAGATCCTTTCTGAACCACTGGTCCCTCCCTCAATTTGTATTCTCTCCTCTAAGAGACCCACAACAGTATCCTTAGATTCTCCCAGAGGTTTTGTTTGCTTTGTTTACAGAGTCTTTCTTGCTCTATCATTAACCATACCTGGGCTGCAGAGACTCACAGATGTCAGTACATGGGCTCACTGGTATCAGAATCACCGGCTAACCCAACCCCAGGCCAAGAATCTGCATTTTAGTATAAGCACTAGATTAAGAGGCTCCAAATTCCTTAGATTCTTGGCTTTTGTCGCAATATGTTACCCTTCCGTTTAGTCCTGGATACACTATAAATTCTTAGCACCTCCTTTTCTGGGTCACAGTTTTCCTGAGTCTCCATGGTCTATGAGAATCCTGCGGACTGCCAGAAGAACAGATAGGTCTTGGAGAAAGTGCCACAGTGCTTCTTGGAGGCAAAAATGACAAAGCTTCATCTCACAAACTTTGGTTATGTTGTTACTTGTCGTGAACAGTGGTTTGAATCTTGCCCTCTCCTGAGCCAACCTCGTCATCTCTCAGACACCTGACCCCACTGCCACAGTCACTATGTCAGACAATCTCATCCAGGGTCATCTTCTACTGCACTGACCCTTCCAAGTATGGTGTCCTCCAAGAACTGGTCCCTCCTGGCAACATGACCAAAGTATGCCCAAAGCCTTGCCTCCAAGGTGCAAACTGGATCCATCCTCTCCAGGACAGATGTTTGTTCTCTTGGCAGTCCATGGTATGCTCAGTACTACTCTCCAGCACCACACCCAGTGCTGTAAGGATAGGTTATTCCTTGGAGACGGGCATCATGCTTTGAGAGGTGGAAAGTTGGCTAAAAAGAGGAAGATCCAAGTGGACTGACCAGTGACTGCAAAAATGGGGTTGAGTGTCAGAGATTGTGAGGATGTCACAGGATAGGCCAGTGATTAGATACCTTGCTAATAGGGTGTAAGTCATACTCAACTTGACAGCATCTAACAGCAAAAGTTGTCTCTATATTTAAGTAATTATCATCTTAGCCTTCCACCCTTGTTTGGAGCAGAACTGCGTATCAGGCATAAGACAGGCCGTGTGGAAAAAAAGGTTAGAATAGGTATCGATGAGACAATGGAAAGCCTGAAAAGACAAATTAAGAACCAATAGAAGGCAAAGTTCAAATGAAGTGACCAGGACCAGGCTCTACCCAATCAGAATCAAAAAACCACTAACATTGGACTTAAGGCATCAGGATTGGAGGAAGACTCATCAACAACCTACCTTATGCACATGACACACCTTGCTTGCTGAAACTAAGGTGGGCATGAAGCCCTTGAAGCTTATTGAAGCTTAACATAAAGAACACAAAGATTCTAACCACTGGACCAATTGGCAGCACCATGATGATGGAGAAATGATTGAGGTTATTAACAGTTATAGCTTCCTCCGCTCCACAATCAACACTCTTGGCACCAGCAGTCAGGAAATCAAAAGACAAATCGCATTAGGTAAATCTGCTGTCAGGGGCCTTTCCAGAGTACTGAGAACCAACAATGTAAGGGGCACCTGATTCAGGCCCTGGTCTTCACAGTTATTTGCTGTGCATCAGAGAGCTGGACAGTGGTTAAGAATGACAGAAAAACCAATGCCTTTGAGTTGTGGTGCTGGAGAAGAGTCAAACATACCATGGACTTCCAAGAAAACAAATAGGTCTGTCTGGGAGAGGGTGAAACCAAGTCTCTCCTTGGAGGCTAGAATTTTGAAGCTCCATCTCACTTTGGGCATATGGCCAGGAGGGACTGATCCCTGGAGAAGGACATCATGCTCAGAAGAGTGGAGGGACAGCGCAGGGGAGGAAGACCCTGGATGAGATGGATTGATACAGGGTAATGAGGCTAGGTGTGTTGGAGATGGTGAGACTGGCTCAAGACAGGACAGGCTTCAGAGCTATTGCACACAGGGTCGCTATGAGTCCTAGGTGATGCGACAGCACATAACAACAAATGCCTCAGTCCTGACGTGCTTGGGAGAAACTGCCCCTGATTAGAAGCCTGATTAGTGTTTCAGGCAAATAAGTAATGTCAAGAACAACGGACCAGAACCACTCAACATTTGAACTCGTGAGAGAGCATCTCATTGGCTCAGACTGAAACCCAGAAGCATGCCCAAAACCAGCTACATTAACCAACTCTAGGCTAAGAGAGCTCTGGTGACCTGGGGGTAAGAAACTGCGCTGCAATTCCAAAGGCTTGTGGTTAGAACATATAAGCTGCTCCACAGAGGATGGGCAGTCTCCTCCCCTGCTGCCCCTTGAAACCCACCAGAGGGTCAGTATTACACACAAGGCTGAGAGAGCTGCACTGCAATCCCAAAGCTTGTGGTTCAAATCCACTAGCTGCTCAGTTCACTGCCTCTGGAAACCTGCTGGTGGGTCTCTGTGGGTCCATCCTGACTTGATGGCACACAGCAACAACAAAAGCATTTCTCTATTTTACTATCTCTTCTAATAAAACTATTTGCTTTTACTTCACTCCTGTCCCTCTTTTCCTCTCAACTGCATGGTCTAACAAGGGCTTGGCCCAGCTGGGGCTATTTTGAGCAGGATATAACCAGGGGATTTGTCCACAAACTTCCTGCTGTATCTTGCCTGGTTTGATTCCTTGTCCAGGCAAGAGATCCCCAACCAGGGTATTCACTTCATGGTAACACTTTTACGCCTGGGAATACAGGGGAATTTGCCCTAAGTGATTTGTTAGTGGTGGTAGGACTTGTGGAAAATGTGAAAATATGTGTGTCTTTTCAGCTTTTTTACTGTCACGTGGAAGTAACAGTTGGAAATCATGGGTCGAAAGGATTTGATGGCATTGTCCGATATAATATCAGGTCTGGGAGCCAACATCAGAATCCACGTGATCAGGGTGTTTGTGAAGTTAAGAAGAAAAGAGAAAATAACAAGGAAACAAAATACAAACTTTTTATTCGTCTCCATGCACAGGACATTTCTTCTGAACAGGAGATGCCCTGGACACTGAGCCCAGAGTCAAGCGGTCCCTTCCCACCTCCATTATCCCAGGTAACCTGAGCTATTAACTTAGAGAAGGAGCCCGGGTGGCACAGTGGTTGTGTTCAGCTACTGACCGAAGGCCTGCATCAGCCAGCCACGGGCCGATGTGCTTCCACAAAGGTTTCTGCCTCGGACTCGCGGAGTTCAGCCCGATCCTCGCGGGTCAACCCGAGTTGGAACCAACTCAGTGGCAGATGGTCTAGTTTTGTTGCTGGGTTTTGGTTGGTTCGTTTTTTAATTAAATGCCCAGTATCCTCCAAGTATCCAACTTCAAAGCGTCCACATGCCTCAGGAGTGGCTTTCAAGTGACAGCTCCAAACCACCATTGCAGTTAGGTGAAGGACACTAGTCCCCCAAGAAGAAAGGGCCTCGCTGCTTCCAGTAAGTCCAGCTTAGGGTCCAGTGAGCGACCAAGCCCCTCTAACACCATGGTTGCAAACACAATGGAGGCAAAGTTACTCTCGAGCTTCACCTGGAACAGAGGAGAACAGGAGTTGTTCCGAGACCTGTCTGTGCAGGGAAGCAGGGCTGGGACAGTCACGTGACCCCCCTCTCCTCTCTGCCTGTGCCTTTTACTGTCCACAGAACGCTCTATCCCCAGCCTGCCTTTCCCCTCCACTTGTCTGCTCACCTACTTTCCCTCTCATAGGAACACTAAGGAAAACTTGTCATTTATGCAGCGCGCATTTTTCTGGAGGGGTGTGTATGTACCACTTTCATTATGATATATATTTATATAAGAACGGCTTAAAATATTTCCCACATACACCAGAAACTGCTCATCTGAGGGCCATTCTTCATACCCCTCGGTCTCTGTGGGACACAATGGGCTTTCCTCAGCCACTAGGGGCCCGTTAACCGTGGGCTTGGGCGGCAGGTGGACCTCCCCTTAGACACTCTGGAATACTCAGCACTGACTGCTCTGGGAACAGTGGTCACACATGTTGATCCACCCAAACTCTTCCTTTTTTGATGCCCTCGTGCTCCTCCTCCTCCGACAGCATGGAAAATGAGGCAGTTGGAAGGGTAGGACATTGCTCTAATCTCCTGTAGCAGGACCACTGAGCGCTTTATAGAGCATTAAAATCCCCAATTAATAGGACTCCTAATTTTTTCTGTTTTACTACATGGTGGAAACAAAAACTGCATTCTACAAATAGTTCTGTTACTGGGAAGGCTTCACCCATGCCCTCTTCTCTGAGACATGGTCAGGGCTGGTCCTGAAGCCACTCCCACCCCTGCCCTTGACCTCACCTGGTGTTTCATCAGTAACTTGAAGACACTAGAGAGAAGGGTGGAAACTTGAAGCTGGAAAAAAGGAATAAACAGAACTTCAGCAATTACAGAGCCTGAGAACATTTCCTCCTTGCCCAGTTCCTTCTAGCTCCTTCCCTGCCACACCCCACAGACACACATGTCAGGTCCACGTTAGAGTCACACACCATATACAAACCTCACTCACACCACATGTAACTACATACCATGCTGCACAACACACATGCTAACACCTCCACACACACTCCCCGGAATGTGACACCCTCGGTGAGGCAGTAAACCCAAAGGCTGTGGAGGGCCTCCCCACCTTCTCCAGTGTGACAGCGTTCCTCCTGGCCTGGCTCACCAGTGTGGCCATCTCCTCCTTGAAGGCCTCCACGTCCCTGCATTTGCTGTCCCGGGCGTGGTGCAGGATGAGCTCAGCCACTCGCTGGCCCTGGAAGATGAGAGAGGAAAGAGCTGCCCTAGAGCGTCCCTGAGGGGGCAAAAAGCGAAGTGCCCTGTCCAGCCTGCCACGCCGGGGTTGCCTCAGCGTTCGCTTCTGTACTGTCCCCTCCTCCTCACTGCTGTATCCCACAATACCTGGACACCAGACACACCTCTGCTGGCCTTGGCCCTTCCACCATCAGGGCACAACTGAGGCCTCTGCTGGTCACCAGGCCACACGCCCCCTGCCCACTTCCCACACTGTCCGCCCTGAGCCCAGCTTCGAGCCTGATGGCTGGCCCCCAAAATCAGGTCCCTGCCCAGGGCTGGGCTCTAGTCCAGATACAAACTGCTAACTCAGGGCCAAGTCCAGCCAGAGCCGGAGCCTTCACTTGGAGCCTGGGTCACCTGGGCCAGGTCTCCGCCCAAGGAAAGCTTGTATCCTGTAGATGGAACACTCACTCCAGGGGGCTTTTTAAAAAAAAAAAAAATCAAATATGTTTATGCTTTGTCTTCATTTAACTCAAAATATTTAATAACAAAAATGTTTTTAAAATACTTCTTTTTTAAATTTATTTTATTTTATTATTATTTTTGTGTGAGTGTACCATCAAATCAGATCTGACTGGTACAGGAGGAGATTGTCCCTCCTTCCCCAGCAGAGCATCTGGTGGATTCGAGCCGTGCACCTCTGGGATTGTAGTTGCAGCTCCTTGCCACTAGACCACCAGAGCTCCCCAAAATATTTCTAATAATGCTTGACTATATAGTTATTTTTGGTTGTTGACACTTCCAGGGGCTTTTTGAGGCCTTTTCTCTTGGTGGTAATTCTCCAACCCACAGAGCAGACGCTCACAGTCAGAGATTCACTCTCTGCCCTACAGACTGCAGGCCACCATTGTTCACTCGAGAAATTAGCCTTCCCAGCAGTAAAGACACAAGACCACCAACCTTTACAGCACCAGGCAAAGAGGTGTTCTTCCTCGGCCTAATCCCCTCCCAGCCCTGCACCCCCGACTAGAGGTTCCTGTGGGGCGGCCACCCCACAACGCCCTCAACTCTGCACCAGCCCACACTCATGCTCTCAGTGGGGCTTCACCTGTTGGCGCTGATGAGACCTGGGATGTGAGAGGAGCCCCAGGTGCCCCGAGCTCTCACCTGCCCCAGCAGCACGGCCAAGAAGACAGCCCGGAAGTTGTTCAGGTCACTGGGCTGCATCTCAGCCACGATGCCAGCGTCCAGCAGCACCAGCCGTAGGGGCTGGGGGCCAAGGGGCGCAACCTCCACCTTCTGCGGCCCCGACAGCTGCTCCCTTGACAGAGCGTCAGCACCTTGCACCAGGATGTTCCCAGGGTGTAGGTCCCCATGGACAAAGTTGTCCACGAATATCTGCAAGACAGAGGTTCTTCTTTCAGCCTGGGGTCCCGCCTGCAGGCCAGGCACCACAGGGAGAGGCCAAGTTCAGGTACACAGACTGAATTTCACTTTGTGTCCTGAAGGGGCAAAGAAAGGTGATTGGACCTGCTACCAAAACAAAGGCTGAGTGCAGGAGCCACCAAAGGAGGTCCAGGGAACAGGCCAGGATTTCTCAAGCCTGGAAAGAGGGGCCTGTTACACCCAGCACGCGTGGGCCTGGGACTCAACCACATGCAGATGCACACAATTACAAACATGTGGGCCCAGCACTTAAACAGGCATAGCACAAACATGCCAACACGTGGGCTGGGACTCGACCAAGCACACCATGAACACGGTTACACACACGGACCTGGGATTCAGCCATGCACACCACTAATATGCTAACACACACATGTCTGGGACTTGACCAGGCACACAACGTGAACATACATACAATGGCTTTGGACCGACTAAGTGGGAAAGCGATTCAGGCCCCTCTGGAGTAGGGTCTGCCCCCTTCCATGGCAACACCAGCAGTGTGACTCTCTGAGCAGGGTCGGGGAGTGCGGGCCTGAGACAGTGTGGAGCCACTGTGGGGCAGACACACTCAGCACCAGACCCACCAAGTCCAGGCTCACCTGACCCCTAGTCCTGTGAACTCTGGTTAGGACGGGCACCCAGTGACCCACTGGTAGCCTGTAGTCAACCCTTTTCACCCCAACTAACCTGCACCCTCTCCTGGGGGCAGTGCTTTCAGAGTACAGGAGCATGTCCATTCTGTCACCCCTAAATCCAACATGTAGCTCAGGCCTGGCCCATGTCCGATGCCCAGTACCTACTCCCTAGGTGAATGAACACACCCTATCTCTGCTGGTCTGTCCACTCCGTGGACACCCAGGCACGGACCGTCCACACTGTGGACACTCAGGCACGGACCATAGACACTGTGGGCACCCAGACACAGATCGTCCACATTACAGACACCCAGGTACGGATCATCCACACTGTGGACACTTGGGCATGGGCTGTCCACACTGTGGGTGCCCAGGCACAGACATTATGAGCACCCAGGCATGGGCCATCCACGCTGTGGACAGTCAGGCATGGACCATCGACACGGTGGGCATGCACACATGGGCCGTCCACACTGTAGGCAGCCAGGCATGGACCATCCACTCACATGGCCTGGGCCAGGTCCGTCTTCACCTCAGCCTCCTACCCCTGCCGTCAAGTTGCTGCTGGCACACAGAGACCCTGTAGGGCAGAGCTTGACCCGCCTCTCTGGGTTCTCAAGGCTGTGAGTATCTACGGGAGGAGACGGTCACAACGTCCCCTCTATGGTTTCAACGGCCAGCCCTCTGCTTAGTAGCCACATGCTTTAACCACAGTACCACTAGAGGCCCTTTCAGGTCTCGGGTAGGGACCGTCTACACTGTGAATCCCTGGGCAGGGAAGGTCTACACTGGGAGGGACTGCCTCGCCCACCCTCGCTGGCGCACGCTCCTGATGCCAGAGCACACCCTAAGGAAGTGCTCAGCACAAAGACGTGAAGGAACGTGCAGACATGGAGCCACGGAGGCAGGAATGAAAGGCACGAATGAGCAGAGAGTCTTAGCAGGAGTGAATGAGTAGAAATCACTGAGGACTGAAGTCCTGAGAACGATGAGTAAACAGCATGAACGAACAGAAACTGACAGAACGCCGGAACGAATGAGCAGAAATTCTCCGAAGGCACAAACATCGGCGGGCACTTATTTCTATCACTGGCTCTCTGAGCACTGTGGCCAGTGGCCCTGACACCCCACCCCGCCAGCCCACGGGGACCGAGCAGGGTCCAACTGCCCCACGCAAGGCCCAGGGGTCCCTCAGCTGTGAGCCTACCATCTTCAGAAGCATCTGGATTCCCAGCTGTGCAATCTGCCTCTTCAGCTCCTGGGGAACCTCCGCCTGCTGGTAGTGGGACACGAGCACGCTCTCCTGCGGCAAGAGACGAGGACAGTGTCACTGGCCGGCATCCACCGCCCTGCTCCCTCGCTGTCCCAGTGAGGGAGTGAAATGACCCACACAGAGACACTTTTCCAAAGCCTGTGACTGCCACCCACACTGCATCTTAACCCGTGTTCCTCCCACCACGCTTCTCGGTGGACATCTGCTACCATGGAGAGGCCACTCTGTGGCCTTGGATACCCCTGGGCACGAGAGCCAGCGACCTCGGTGGCAGTGGGCTGGCTGGGTCTGAACCGTGCGGCAATCTGATAGAGCAGCTGGCAGCCCTGTTCTGAGCTGAGGACACTGAGGTCACCCAGTGGGTGCCATAGCAGAGGTGCCAACCCGGGAAGCCTAAGGTCCTGGTCACCCTGAGCCTCTGCCCTCCACCCTGTCTTAACGCCTTCCTCCTGCGTCCGCCTTTGACACCACAGATGGGGCAGGTCCAGCTGCCAGGCTCTTACTTCGTATGTCTCCACCAAGATGTCCCTGGAGATGAAGGGGCGCAGCGGTGTGGGGAACCTGACCGCAGCCACGTTCCAGAAGTTACGCTGGAAGTGCTCCAGGTTCTGAGCTTCGTAGCGCAGGTCGACCTGGAGTGGAGAGAGGGAGGCCTAGTCAGCAGGGATCTGGACCTCCTGAAATCCAGACACGGTGCCCACACTGCCTGTGGACAGTCACACACACACAGCATGGCCTCCCAGGTGGGCCAGGACCTGGCTATGGTGCCCACCACACCTCCAACACCCCAGCTCAATGCCACCTAACATCATGGGGTATGAGCACTCTGCTCTGTCTACCCTCCCCCGGGAGCACCTCACACCTCCCCCAGGAGCACCACACACCCTCACACCCTCCCCCGGGAGCACCTCACACCCTCCCCCAGGGGCACCTCAGGTTGTCCAACTCCCTGCTTCCTGAGCCCCCTGCACCACCTCCCAACCTCTCACCTCATAAGCAGCACCCCAGACCATCAGCCCCTCACACTCCACCCCTCAGACAGAGCCAGGCCTGCTTCCACATCCCCTCCAACTCCCACGACAGCACCAAGCATATCTCCGTGTCCCTTCCAACTCCCAGGACAGGACCATCAGCATTTGCCACCCGACAGTAACCTGGACAGGGCTGTGGCCTCCCCGCTTCCATGTGTACCCCAGATCGCCAACTTCCCATCCTCACCCCCACCCCAGCCTCCTCCCCCCCCTGCCTTGTTCTGCCCCAGTTTGGTCCAACTGTGTGCTCCAGGGGACTCTCAGCACCCCAACGGAGCTCCTCCAAGCTTTCACCTGCAGGTAATCACACGTCTCCCCTCCCGACGCCATGTTAGTGCCACAGGGTCCCATCACGGACTCACGGTGACCCGTGTGAGCAGACCTGGATGGCTCCACACGCCTGCTCAACACACACCTGCTCCCCGCACGCCTGCTCGCCTGCTCCCCGCACGCCTGCTCCACACACACCTGCTCCACACACACCTGCTCCACACACCTGCTCCACGCACACCTGCTCCACGCACACCTGCTCCACGCACGCCTGCTCCACGCACGCCTGCTCCACACACACCTGCTCCACACACACCTGCTCCACACACCTGCTCCACACACGCGCCTGCTCCCCGCACGCCTGCTCCACACACACCTGCTCCACACACACCTGCTCCACACGCCTGCTCCACACACACCTGCTCCACACATGCCTGCTCCCCGCATGCCTGCTCCACGCACGCCTGCTCCACGCACACCT